TTTTTTTTTTTTTTTTTTTTTTCAACTCAAAAGCCCCACTTGCGCCGAGTTATCAGTCTGAAATAGACAAATATGGCGACCTGCTGCTTCCGCATAAAATTCCGTTCTCCAACGTCTTTCAAATGAGACATCAAAAGAGGAAACTGCCATTTGAGAAAGAAGTCGAGGGCGGCTCATCCGTCGGTGTCCCGTGATATTTCAATACGCCAACCTCTGGGATACGCATAAAGTGTGTTTTTCGAATAACTTAGGATGCATTTTGCAAAAAGGAACCACTAGCATTGCAATGTTGCTAAGATTGTGCAACTTCTTTTGTCTTGGAGGAAAAACCCCATTATCCCTTAATAGTTTCTATTTTACTCGCTAAAAACTGTAAATTTAAGACAAAAATTACCATTTAAATTTCATAGTTTTTCACAATTTCCACAATTTTATTACAAAGGATGAAGTTGCACAATCTTAGCATTATTGCAATGCCAGTGGTTCCTTTTTGCAAAATGCAATCCTTATATCTCCCGTGGGAACTTTTGTTGCCTATACGTAAATTTGCAGGAGAACCTGAAATTGACTGTCTATGCTGATAGGATGGGAGAATGTTGCCGATTCCACAAAACGCTGTAGGAGGTCTAAGGGTAAAAAATTAAAAAATTGGAATCAGAGTCTTTGAATGAACTTATATGAGTCGGGCAGATGAATTTTGAACACTAAGCTGGGGTTACGCCAAGCGATCCATGGAACGCTCGAGTTCGTTCGCTCGCTCTTTTTTTTGCTAACACATTAATTTTCATTTTAGCGGTATTGATTTTTTTAGGAGATAAACCATTATCTTGTAGGGCGGCGTTGCCTCCTAACTTTTTTAATACTATTCCAACAACTTATCTGAAGTCCCGCCTCATTATCGATCGGTTAAAGCGCTCTCTTCGGACTTTCAACACTCGACATAGCATGACTTATTAGTATATATGCCGAGTTAGTATGAAAAAACAAAAGAATTAAATAGCAAATAGAAGTAAATTAAATAAAACAAAAATAAAATAATACGTTGATTTCAATGGTTCATGGTCCTCTCACTTGACGTTTCAATCGGATCGGGCCTTTCTTTTTTCCCCTTCTTTTTCCAACGTACTCCGTCCTTTCCTCAATCTTCGCCACATATGAAATTTTGAAGGAAAATAGACACCGCACTGAGGAATCCAAAACTGAGGTATTATGTCCATATATATGACAATATGGGTACTTGGTAACACAAGATCGGGTCAAAACTTGGGAAGCAAAGAAAGATGCCTCCATGAAGAAAAAGTTGCCAAAAAATGTGGAACGCTTCACGATTTTGCGTGTCATCCTTGCGCAGGGGCCATGCTAATCTTCTCTGTATCGTTCCAATTTTAGTATATGTACCGCCGAAGCGAGTACGAGGGGTGCCGAAAAGGTTCCGAATTATATACTAACTCGCTAAAGAAGAAAATTACTACTCCTGTTGTCGGAGAGTTTGCCGTCGTATTGATCCCTTTTTTTCGCATGTTGTACGGATTTGATTGGTGTGAATTATTGAGCAAATTTAAGATCAGAAAGAAAAATTGACCAATTAGCTATTTTTTAAACTTTAAATTGGCATTAAACGATCATGAAAATTGCTCGACCGCGCTAAGATTCAACACGGGGGTGCACGGGCCGGCTTGGAGGACTAGCAGCGCTCTCTGTTGGAGAGTACAAATCAGCGGCACCGCGCACCTGTCAGAAGGGGTAGGCAGGGAGGCTCAGGGAGTCAGGGCCGAAGGGGCGAAGTGCTTAAAAAATAATGAAATATAAGAATTCGAAATCTGATGCACGGGTATCGGGTAGGGGCTGTCGGATGATAGGCACATTTTTTGGGGTGGCACCCCAATTAATCGAAAACATATCCGTATCATCCAACGAAGTGGGGTTGCACCACCATTTTAGAGGAATTCCTAGTACTTTTTTCCGTGTAATGTTCTTGTGAAATTTCTTGAAGTTATTTGCCGTGGCCCTTTCAACGAAATATTCAAAAATTGACAATAAAGCCTAGTTTTAATTCGAGAAGAGGAAACGAGAGAGGGAAGAATAATTCTCTACGGCTGTGAGTTTTAAAATTATTTTATTCAGATCCCTTGACTTTCTTTAAATTCGTTTGTTTTTCAATCAATGATTTTGGTGATAATTCGCAGTAGACTCTTGAATCCTTGTTTTCTCCTCGACGCATGTTAGGAAATTGCGCTTCCACCAGCTACTCAAGCACAGTTCTCAGTCATCGCTGAAGTATAAAGTTTCTTCACGGCTCCACCTGTAAATAAAGAGTGAGCTGTCAGTACTTCTTTTGCCAAGTCTGTGTAAGGTAAAATTGTATCACTCTCAATCGCCTCTCCCAAAAATTCTCTTGCGTACACATGAGAGTCAAAGCGTCGCCCTCCTAACTCCTGACATAAGGGCGTAACTACACTCTGCTGTGAACCCTGTCGTTCATACAACTCGATGCTTTTCCGGGCTCATCTCAATGTGTAGTTACGCCCTCATGTCAGCCAAGCGACGAACGGGTCATTAACTCATTAAGTGACAGTAGTCGTTTTAATTAGGTGATCAAAGTGCGTCGGCGAATAAGTATCGATGATTTTCAATTAATCGAAAATTGTATCTCCTCGGCTTGATTTCCTTAAAAAAAAAATGCGCGTGTGAATACAGGGCCGGATTTACTTACTTGCCGCCCATGGGCCGCCTATATTTTGCCGCCCGCCTCTTCTCATTCGTTTTGAAAAATCAATAAAAACCATCAAGTGAAAGTGCTGGAGAGGGAGGGGTGCCTAAGACACGTTTACCCGTGTTGGACACGTGTTTTGCGAAAGCCCTGTCAACACTACTAGCAAAAGTTCACGGAAGTTGGCGCGAAAGTTAAGTTCCGTAAACCTATCTCTTGCGGTGTGGGCAAGGCCTTCCATTTATATGAAATGAGCGAAAAAATTAGGAAAGAACAAACATAAATGTGGTCTATTAATTTTAACTTCCGCCGCCGCGATGCGCTGACCGCACAGTGTTTGGCGCAATGCGTGAAGTATTCCTACTGTCTTGTATGCACTATGCGATTCACGCCGACCGCTGCTGCACGCACTGTGTTTGACGCAGTGCGTGAAGTATTCATGCAGTCTTGTAGGCGCTATGCCTTTCACGCCGCCCGCTGCTGACCGCAATGACCGCACCGTCTTTGACGCAATGCGTAAAGTATTCATGCAGTCTTGCAGGCGCTAATATGTGTTACACGCCGACCGCCGCGCCGAGGGTTTCTCCTTTTCATCTCAAGTTCTCGTCATCATTGCTCTCTGCGCCGCGCTGTTTCAGGCCAAATTCCGTGTTCGGTTTCTCTCTTAGTCTTAACTCGACTAATTAAAGGTGCTGTCTATTGTATCACAGAAAGGCGACAAAATTAGAAACACACTCAGGAAATGAGAGATTTTGTCACATTTTCTCGTTTGTAATTTTTTTTCTGAATCCGATTTATCTTTATAGCTATATTTCAAAAAATTGCAAAAGTTGCCGCCCCCTAAATTTGCAGTCATGGGCCGCGGCCCATGTGGCCACCCTCTAAATCCGGCCCTGTGTGAATATATTTTAATAAGTAAATAGAAGTATACTGGGGAAAAAATTCAAAAAATAGTCGGTACTGGATACTCTGTTTCCAAAAACCATCGAAATTTCTCCTTTCCGTTACAGAATATTTCTGTCGTTAGGATGGAATCTTGTCCACGACTGAACGAGCACTAAATATACATCCGGGGTGCCTACTGCCTATACATACTACTCCGGAAATAGCACTGATTTTTAAAGGGTGGGCTAGTGGAAGTACTGAAAAAGTGCGGAAATTCCGCAAGAAGGCCCGACATTTTTTCCCTCATACCGCACGCGTGATTCATAATAAAGCCTGGAATGTATGCAATTCTCTGCGCGTTGATCCCTAAAGTTGTGTTTGCCTGCAAGATTGCGATTGAGCGGTTAATTAATCTTCGAGCCACCAATGAAATTTTGTGGCTACGACATTCTTGTTGCAATTCGAGCGATAATTTCGAATTTTTTCAAATTTCGTCAAATAGAGGTCTGAAAAGTACTGAATTTTATGTTGCGGAGGTACTGACTTTTTCATGAATGTACTGAAAAATTACTGTGAAATTACTGCTTTTTAGCCAGCCTATTTTAGTAGAGACCCTGACAGCACTCAAAACGGAAGCATTCTGCTCCGCACCGATAATTTCAAAATCTTAATTTTTACTTTTTTCTTTTCTTGTACTTCCGGAGCAATCTGTAGTTTTCTATATCGCTGGTTCATGTTTTTGCGCCCAACCCAAGTAGCAGCGATTGCGTTAAATAGCGATTTTATCGGTTGGTTATCGCGATTATATCGGTGGCAATATATCGAGATATTATCGCATTAAAAATTGCGATATATGGCGATTAAACGCTAAAAATCGCAATTATTGGTTCGATAAAATCGTGATCAACTTTCGTCGATAAAATCGAGATTAAATCGCTATATATCGCGATTTTTATTTCGAAAATATCGCGATAATTGTCGGGCAATAAAAGCGCTATTTTTTCGCGATAAGATCGAGGATAATCGCCCAGACGTTGATGATCTTGATGGCGATTTTATCGCCGATAAAATCGCAATATATAGCGATATTTCCGTCGAGAACCTACTTGGGAAGCCCCATCCGTGTATTTATCAAACTTACTTTTGAAGGAGCTTTTTCACAGCTTGACACTTGAAACCGCGAAAGAGCTGTTCCATCTTGCTCACTTGCACTGAATACCTGAGTTCCGCTAGATGTACTTTGAATACGGTCAGACGTTGGCGCTCCAACTTTATGAAGGGTAACACTCTCTATTGGAACATTTGACTTCCATAGACGGTGTTGGGGCTTCAGAGGTGTTAGTTGAAGTTTACGTTTGTAATCCTGAAAACGGGAAAGAAGGACGAACTAATTAATGATCGGCATTCCAAGCATCTCGTATCATCAAACCTCCTTTATTTTTTTGCATGAACAATATTCAGCTCAAGATGATTCGTCCCGGATTCCAGCGTTTCCGAACTGATGTGCGATACATAACATCGATTAAGTAATAAACCTCGGTAGATTTTGAATGTTTAGCCAAGAAATAGGATGATAGACCCCATGCATGAGCTTTAGGAATCATTCTAAACGAAAAAACTTTCTAAATTCATTGAAATGAGAGAAGGATTATTTTGAAAAAAAGAAAAAAAAAAAAAAAAAAACTTCGCATTCGATGTAGAAATCAAATATTGCATCAAGTGCGCGGGTTTTTCCAAATAGAATCCTGCCTTCATTTTTCCGAGTTCTTCTATGTTTCTTGGTAGAGAAGAAATTTTAATTTTTATCCGCAAAAAAATTAGGTTTTGATCAGGATTTGGAAAAATTATGAACTTAGGATTCAGCAGCCAATAATCAAGAAAAATTAGGATTTCATCAGCATTTCCCTAAATGAAAAAAAACTAGATACCCTGTCCAGCAATGATTTTACCTCTATCGATTTTAAGATCGGTAGGAGGGGACGATTCCACTTCTGACTGTCCTCAACCACCTCGCGAGCGTACTTGAAGTATTCCTCGTCGCTCATCTTCCACATGTGCACGGATCGGTCCACCGCTCTCTTGTCCAGCTTCTTCTCCATCATCCGCAGATTCATATTCTCCACCTGTAAAAACCCTCTTTCATGATTTATTGCGAGGAAAAATAATGACTTCTTAAACTCCAGTAAACCTGCGTTTCGGGAATGCATCCGAAGCGGGATAACACGACCACGAGAGAGCAGGCGCTCTGATGCATGTCGTTTCGTGGTGGGCCGTGAAATTTGCCTTCAATTGACAAGGTAGGCAAAAGCGGAACCTCGGGAGCTACTAGTTGAATTCAGTAGCACATGAAAGACAAAAAGCAGGAATTTGGAGACTTTAACGCGGCAGTAGAAAAAACGCCGAGGCCCGGAGCTCAGAAAATAGTTGTAGTTCATCTGAAATTTTGAGTTTTGCTAACGTTCCTGTCATAAGCAACGGTATGGACGGACGATGGTCGGTAGATGCTTCTTTTTTACTTCATTTTTAAGCACCCCGTTGATGATAACAGATGTGAGGATAGGATTTTAAAGTATCTTGTGGTTCATAGGATTTTTGCAGGTATGAGCTCTTTCCGCTCTCTTACTGTTTTTTAGCCATTATTTGACTATTTCTAAATTTAGTACTAAACTCCTCTTAGCAATTAAAAAAAAAAAAAAAAAAATGCCGGCGACCTTGAGTTACGTATAAGTGTAGAGACAGATTGGCCGTGCTTCAACAAAACCTGACTGGTGATTTTAACTCTTCGCCTTCGAATCTCCCGCACCTTGGTGACCATCTCAGAGTGCGATCTGTTCGTCTTTCGTGTGACCTAACCGAACCATGGGGAAGGACACAGCGCTCTCTGGCGACTCTTTGCTGTACATCCATCAGGTAAAGTGTGCAAAACCTTTCATTTCACGGAGGTCGCTCTTCGGACGGTTTAATTTTCTTCCTTGCTTTTCAATAATATTACGTGACTGATGAATTAAGTGAAGGTCAATTTCAAATAATGATCAATCGGTTGCAATAGCGAATTTAATTCACCATTACACTTAATCTCGATGCGCACGAAATGATTATTTTGCAAACTCGGTGACTGAGGGAGGTTCAATTTTGATGGGTACCCCAAGCATCACCTATTACTCTCATACTTACCTGGCGTGGGGGCTACCATGATCAAGAAGGTGGTTCCCCCAGGGCGAGGCCCTTCCATTGCACTCCGGTTGGGCTGACCCCTGCGAGTATCTCAAATGTAGATACCTCGGGCGCGTAATTTTTGGGAGTCGGGACTGCGTTCGCGCTGTCCCGGATAATCTGTTTATGTTCCCTATGTCATGATTACGCACGTATTTAGGTGCATACAAACCTCTCTCATACCATAGTGTATGAGTAGTAGATGTGGTGTTCTTGTCGGAGAATTCGATCTCTCGAAGGCCATTCTGACCAGATGGTTCGCCCATACTGTCGTGTTAAGAATAAACGTCGTATGAACCTTCAGGCGTTGCCAGATTACCATTGAAAAAACGCGAGTCTCTTGGTAGACTTTGGAATATTTTTCTTCGAATTTTTCAGGTACTTTTGTTCGCAATTTCACTTAAAGTTCGTGAAAATGTCACGGAGAAGTATTTATATTGCCTCAAAAATAAACATTTTATCGAAGAAAATTTGGCAACTCTCAAATTTTCATGAGGCGTTTTTCCTTAACACGGCAGTGTAGGTATAGTTAGCGGATATATCCTCTCCTAATATTTGGATTCATTAATTTTTAATGACGTTACACTCGTAGGTAGGATGTAAACATTTTTCAAAGAGACCATTTGAGGGTGGGGGAGTGACGGGGGTCACTTTCGCGTTTTGATGCGCTCACACC